CACACTCAGTCAGTGTCGCCTGACAGTGTGAGCTAAAACCTTGTGGTGGTGATACAGTACTCTGGGTTCCGGTGACGTTCTGTTATCCACACAGTCATTGACAGCAAACACGTATCTCCAGTCATCAACTTTCTGCTTGAGGTAATTCGCGTGCGATACCAAGTGAGGACAGAAAGACGCTCTCTACCGCCATGAAATGTCCGTATCAAGAATAGAGTAAGTCCACACATTCTTCATACAAAAAGCTGAAGTAAACAGGTCCCTACTCATCTAATATTACACACGGACACAGTTTAGTTCACGCACACGCCCACTAGCACCCAGCACTTTCATGCAGCCGTTTTGGACCAGTCTCGGTAGAGTGATTTTACTCTGCTGGAATCCGAATACGGTAATAATCCTCAGGTAGCACCCTAGAAGAGCTGAACGAATTCGTTTATATCAGAGACGATCATGGTATGAAGAGCAAATGTCCTAATATCCGAGAGTTCCGAACACAGCCCAACGGCCCCATCCTGGAGGGAGGCACTGCAGAGAAGGAAATCCTTATTTGGGACGCCATGTGACGTGCGAACTCGATATAACCCAGTGGTTAAGGCGCGAAGTTACTGACCGGGAGGTCCATAGTTCGAACCCAACCTGTGCATCTCGACTGCTCCCGTCAAGGCTCGGGCGACCTGGCAGCCTTCGGACTTCCTTCAGCTAGCGTGGTAGCTAGGCATCGAAAGGATGTTACAACAGAGCGATTACTCTGGTTTATTATACGTGATATACTGACAAAGAAGTCAAGGCATACCCGGAAAGCCAGAAATTGAGTCTCGTTGTTGTACAGGTCAACCCGTACAGTATAGACTCAACTTCGATGTGTTTCTAACGCAGAAATCAGTAGAAGTTTCCTAGAACGTTCTCTGATCCGCTCAAAAGCCACTCCCACACTACAGTAGAAAAAAATCCGAACTACAGAACTAAAAATATTCATCGGGACACACAGAAAAGGAATACATCTGAAATGTCTCTCATTATACAATTATCCTATCCTGAGACGTCCAAAAAGACAACACAAACCTACAGGGAAAAAATGAAAAAAATTGACAAATGGGTAGGAAAAATGGGTTAATAAAAACTGGGGAGTAAAAAATGGAACTAGTCAGATAATGAGGGAAGCCACGCACGCGGAGTTCATTGAAATTCGAGACGAATAGCGCATAATTGGAGAACGAGAGAGAAAAAACGTGCACATTCGACGAGTTTCTTAAGAGTGGTAAATGTTACGTCGCACTATACAAAAGCAAAATAAAACAAAAGCTCATTGCATGAAAAAAACAACTATGGAGGGAGGGAGGGAGAAACCAATGAGAGGGTGATGATAAAAACAATTGAGGCCCGAGATACATCAACAGAGAGAGAGAGAGGGAAACATGGAGATAAAATGCAAACGGGAATTACGCATGCACGGAATTGAAAACAGCACACTGACTGTCACATGTACGAAATGATTTCGAAAACGGCTACCTTCGAACACAAGATGAGAGACGGATGAATAGAATGCTGCGAAGAATTCTCACGCCAGAGGTTGGTATTGCCCGGATAGAGTTGGCAGTCTCGAGTTGCTCTTATAGTGTGTCTCAGTCGTGTACTGATCGATAAACGATCCTTCCTCGTTGAATTTGCCTGAAGAACAAAGCGTAAAGCATGGGTAAATGGAGCAGCAGAGATGATCAAATAGAGCAAGTCGAAGGAACTGCAAAGAACGAAGCATTCCAGTTTTCAAAGACGGTAATCAAAATATGGTGCCCAAAATGAGTGCAAGCCATCAGTAGTTTCGTCTCAAATGTGCATGCTTAGACTATTTTTGAGCAGAGATGTTTCGGAATCGTCCTGCATACCAAACTTTATTTCATGTACCTAAATGGGATGGTACTAATCGTTCCTGGGACAAAAGTAGCGTCAATCGGTCGTGTGAGAATTCCACCACTCGAACGAAATACATAAAGGACGTTAGGCATCCGGCAAACCTAGGATTGCACGGGACAAGAGCACCACAAATCAATATGTGTGACGATGTAGTGACCGTCTATCGTTGTTGTCAAGAGAGATTAGGCGAAACCGGATAACAAAGACGGATTGTTTTCTTTGTCACACAGTTTAATTAGCCTTGACAAAGGTGACCTTTTTGGCTACCGAAAGGTGGGCTCATTAGCTCAATCACCGCGCTTTGTCAGAACGAACAACAACCCTAGCACGGAACCCACGTTTACCGGATGAAAGCCCAGGAGGTGTGAAGCCATTTCGACGACACGGGGTGTCTTTAAACCACCTGCAGTGAAATGAATTCGTGAAAGCCTTTACCTGTCAAGGAGACTGCAAGTGGACATGGCTAAATTAAAAAAAAGAAACCTCATTTATGAAAATATACTGCGATATCTCGAGTATCGTGCCGACTGAGTCATGAGGAGGTCTGTGTGCAGCACTCTCGAGTGGAAGACATCATAAACAAGAGATTCAATTGAGTCTCCCGTGAAAACCAAATTGATTTGCAAATGAGTGTATTTCTCGAAAACAGTCCAATTTGGTTTCAAGTGGGACATATAGTTGACGGAAACTCTGGGACTGCACCTACCGGATGAGCCCCAAGAAGGGCGAAACCGGTCGTGGGCTGTCGAAGAGTTTTCAGCAACCTTGTGAGTAGTTTCCTTTATATAAAAAAAAGAAACCAACCGCCGACTTTCAATTTACCCAATGGATAGCCTACTAACTGAGCTAACAGAAATCTGCTCTTCGTTAGACTGATTCGAAATGACAAGCGATTGTTCACACCCCTGCCCAGTGGGCAAATATTCGAAACATCTCAGCTAAGTTGTCGAATTCCACAATGGACGAAGCGTCCATAACGTTCAACCACTCAAATAACTTTGTGTGAAGTGCTACAAAGTGGACAGAAATCAGGGGAGATTGTTTATGCTCAGTTCTGGGAGTGAAGTGAAGTCTGGTGACTGGATACCCGTTCAGAAGCACCACAGGATCACGATGGAAAGTGTTGTCGCATAGAACGAGGCAGGGTTTGTTCTCAAGGGTTGGATGGAACCGACTGACATCTTTCCATAACAGTAACAGGTGAGGACTCATAAGTGAAAAACTGTAGGAAAGTGTTGTCGCATAGAACGAGGCAGGTTTTGTTCTCAAGAGTTGGATGGAACTGACTGACATCTTTCCATAAAAGTAACAGGTGAGGACCCATAAGTAAAAAACTGTGGCCGAAAGAAAACATCCGCGAGCAAATTCTTGTGGGGGACTTGCATCACTGATATTGCAGACCGCGTCATGCAAAACCCTGGCAGAGATACGGTCGTGTATGGAGCCCAGAGATGGCAAAAATTGAAGAAAAAAGTGGGTAGGAAGAAATTTGTGACAGGGGATGGTTTGCGGAACACTGTGACAAACGAAAGACGAGGGCATCGCTACAAAGAATAACAGTGACGATCTGCTAATTGGTCAGGACATCGGAGCCGACAAAATGTGGCAATATCCTCGATGCACACACGGTCGAACACCGTTCTTGGGGCAGTTAAGGTCGCGGTTTCACTTTTGTCAGAGTTTCTATCTGACTGGATGATCGCTGATATATAGGTTTCTTCTCATTGATTTTCGACAGGGTACTGCCACCCAGTGGATACAGACTATCCTCCCACTGAGTTGCCTAGTATCAAGAACGCAAATACAAAGCACTAACAAACTGCACAGGCATGTCGTCACTCTTCACAACGCTTTAGTGAAGCTGAGCACAGAAAAAACACGTTTTCGTAGTGCAACCCTCTCTCTGGTAGAAGTACATTAAAAACAGATATCGAGCGGCCTCGCTTATGATGATGATACACGGAGCGACCATCGTTTGTCCTCGATGAAATTCAACCTAGGAACATCGAATTCGGGATTCCGCCTATTCGATGTATGATATGATAGGGCATTCAGAACTCTGATATGAACGCGTGTACTGGAAGGTCAAACAGACCATTGGTTAGTGACCACTGGATAAGTTAGAAACCGCATAAATGCTATGAACGGCCAAAGGAAGTTTTCTCACCTGGATCAAGGTTGTAGTCATCCAGTTCCCCATCGGCATCACTACCGATTTCCGCGCTGTAATCATTCAAGGAGCAGCGGCTGCCACGCAGAGGAGGGAGATCACTGGAACAAGGGGACAAACCGTTGGCTGTGACAGTTTATTATGAACAAATATGTAAGCGGTTATTTGTTGACTGTATGTTAATGTGTGGAAATAAAACAAGGGATCAGTTGCCCACAAAACTCCGTGCAAAGTGTGCAAAACGAAGCGCTTGCACGAAAAAAGAACATTATGGATCTGCGCATTGACAACCATTTCCTCTAGAGGATGGGAAGGGATGTAAACAAATCAGACGTAATAACCGGCATAACTGCAGAGTGGACCAAACTGCAGCGATGGATTGCATGCACACGCGCCATTAGGGGTGTGGCTCTCAGCGTTTGAATTACCACTGTGTCCTGACTCAGGGTCACAATCTGGAGAGACGATAATTACCAAAACAACTGAGTTTACCGACTACATCTGTCATAGTTCATGGTTAAGTCAAGATCTATTCGACCCTAAACTGTGCATTGCCCCAGAAACAGGGTATTCCGGAGAAATCAACCAACTGTCATACCGCGCCAATGACCAATCTAAAGCTATCTGTAAGTTATCAGAATCCCTACAGCCTTGGTCACACGTAACTTTAAGAGCTCAACCTAAAGTCGGATAAAACGTAATTACAAAAGTGACGCGCTTTCCAGCCTAAAGTCAGACACACATCTACTTATCTAGGAATGCACTTCTAACTGAACCTTGGCACCTTGGTAACAGCTCCACGGTCTACAGTACGAATCCCAGCACATTACAGGTAGCCGGCTAAGGCATGGACACGAGCAATCGGAAGGCCAGGTTGGAGCACGAATTACAGACTTCCGGATGGGTTGTTCATGTCCTAACCCACTGAGCTACCGATCACTCTGGATAAGATAGAGCACTTCAATACAAACAACACTCAGGATCCAGTCCGAACGCTGAAACCTCTATAGAACTATGCAGTATGTCCATGCCACTCTTTTTACAGCAAACTACTCTACTGATGTATTGATCCAGTAGCCGTGAGATGTCATCTTTCCAAAGTACACCTAAAACTTTGCAAGATTCCGACAAAAATGGGCCATATAATCATGTGACCACGTCTGACAGCTAAATCAATGGAGACGAACGTGATCACACTTATGTCCGTTCATGTTGCATCGAGTAGGTCACGGCCTGGATGGCCGACTGGATTAGACCCTTGACGAGTACTTTACTGTCCTCACAAAAAGACCGTTAGAAAAGAATACAGGAAAATCTTAGTTGTATTGTTGGGGGTCATGTATAGGAGAGAAGGCCGGTGTCAGGTTGTGCTTCGGATAGCAGTCCTCAACTGGACCTGCTTAGCTGAAGTTGGCTGTGTCCGCTTGATAATTCGTTTTTCTGATTGATCTACCTCACATCTTAGGTACCGGTGTTCTTGCCATACACATATATGGCGGAACAAATGGGAGTTTAGCACACACAAAAACGATCGTGCGCATCATCATCGCTGTTAGCTACAAGAACCGCGTACTTGTCGTACAGTGGTTGTAGCTGCCACAGTTTCGTTCACCGATGATTCGGAGAGGTGGGGTAGGTAGCTGCGCATTGGAGGCGCGAACTGGCCTCAACGAGAGGCAAACATTCGGTAATCACAGGTCACTCAGTTCATTCAACTTAAAACGTTCAGTCGGAATCCCAGCGACTGGCCGACAGTCAAACACTTCTTTTCTTTTAATGGCACACGATACATGACCTATGTTGACCTCTGTGTGAGACCTCTTACTTCTTAACGTCGTTACTATACCAGTCTACATGAATGCAAATATACGTTCTACGTGGTCGCTGAGGAGAGCAAACTAATGATTATACCCCGGTAATTAGGTCCTTTTGTTGTCCTGGTGAAGTAAATCAAATCAACTCTGTGCTCCAAAATTGCTGTCTATTTTTTACTTGAAACTACATATCTTCAGATGAAAAATCAGTGCTTTTAACCAGCCATCGCATCACAAATGCGATTTTTAGTCCTTCTAACTTTCTTGATTCTGAGTGCTGTCGAGGTTGACTAGATCCGACGACAAGAGAGTGGAAGGCAACAGCCATTAGTGGGAAAACTGATCGGGTGTTTATCATGTAGCTATGACATGATCCATTCCCAGCTTTTGTCTGGGTTGGTCCGTTATTGCTACCCTGAGTACCTCGAGAGTTACTCACGTCAACAATTCGAATGGGCCAGATGCAGAAGTTACCGACATTCTAGTGAGAAGCTGAAAATATGTTAAGGATGGCAGCAAACCTCGGGAGTGAGAGAGACCACGCATCCGTTCGAAATATAGGGGGGGGGGTGAATGATACAGACAAACAACCATGCTAAACAGTATAAAAACAAGGATACACAACTATGTAGGCAAGATGGTGGAGCATTTCGTATGGCCTTTCATTCAGAGACGGCTAGTGAGCGTGAGATTTCACAAGCGCTGGTGACACACATAATCCAGTGTTTATACGTAGCGAAATTACGATATAAGCTGAAGGGCGTCGAATTCGGTCAACGGAGGCGTGCGAAACGTGCGCTCGGGTCGAAAAACATCGGCACACATAATCAGAGGGCTGTCAGTACGGAAACATTTCTGGCAGTCAAAGCGATCTGATGTTGACCGTGGGTATGGATGGATAAAGTCCAAACAGTGCGACTACCCACTTAGGAAGTTCGTTGCCAGGAAAAAATATCCAATATGGATCACATTTGGCTGCGTTCAAATAAGAAACAATGCGTTTGAACACCCCGTTCTGAGCGTACAGCTTAGCCATAAGAACACCAGAACAAACAAAGCGCTCTCTTCAGTAGAGACTTTCGACACTTCGCTGAAGAAAGCGCAAACGTGAAAATCGGAGGGACCTAATCTCGGTCCATTACGGGAATTCTAGACCTTCAGACACTCACTCAACGAATATGGGTACAGATCGGAAACCTATTCAGCTAAGCATAAGATTACGCGGGGTACATCAAAGTCACAGTTCCTTCTTCTTAGCAAGGAAGTCAACACGCTCTTAGGCAAACGATAACTCAGTATGTGAAACGCAAGTACGAGGCCTCAAAGCAGTTTCCCCATTGCACAATCAAAAAGATGATGTCATCGTTATAAACCAGCATAGCTTGGTTCCGTCCGTAAATGCGCTTTGCTGATTGCGACTCTACGTCGCCTTTTGCTGCAAGAAGAATTTGTATAGATGCTAAAAACATGTGCGGAAAATCGTGCGTACTAATGCCCAGTCCAAACAAATACTGCTCGTCTGGATAACCGGTTTCATTGCTTGCCGAACTGGGGGTGGCAAAGTCAAAAACCTTTCCAATATGATTTGCTCTTGTTTGATAATAGTAAACATTCTTTAGACGGACCACATTGCTCACAAGGTTGCTAACAACTCTTCGACAGCCAACGACCTGTTCCGCCCTTCTTGAAGACTATCAGGTACGCGTAGGCTCCGATTTGTGGTCAACCTTATGTCCTACTTGTTTGCGCTTTGCAAACTAATTCAGTTCTAACGGAAGACCCAACTGAATCCAAGCTGAACCTTTCTTTCTGGATATTCTGCCATTGAATGTGCACCATAGAGGCAGCCTCAAAATTCGTTTAGCGGCTACTATCTGGTCGACAGCGATACCTACCTACCTAATCACCAATCCACCAAGACCAAGCATACGGACGACTTAACACCCGGTCGTGGACTGACGAAAAATTTTCAGCAACCTTATGAATAGAGTATTACGTCTACACAATATATCGCGATATCTCGAATGTCATACCAATTGAAACATGAGGTGGTCTTGTGCAGGACATTCAGTTGAAGAGCATCATAAATGAGAGATTCAGTTGGGTCCCAGATAAGTCTCCCGTCAAAACCAAATCGGTATGCAGATGAGTTTATAGGTCGAACTTGACAACCGAACAACAAGCCTCATGCGGATCGCAGAGGAATCACAGAAGTAATCTTCGGTATGGAGTTTATAGGTCGAACTTGACAACCGAACCTGTCTCAACAAGCCTCATGCGGATCACAGAGGAATCACAGAAGTAATTTATACCAAAAGGCACTGAACACGATGACATTAACAGCGTATTCATTTTTCTTGTCTGTACAAGCTCATCACCGAAAAGTCGTATCAAGGAAACGAAGATGAGTGGCCCGTTTGCCCTAGAAAAACTCCTCTGAATCACAAGCTTGTTTCGGCACGTAAAGTGACTGAGGCCAGATAATTAATTGACCAGCGACTAGGCATTTTTATGCCCTGACAGGGTCAATTCGGTGCTACATCTTCAAGCAATCGCCTCCTAGGTCTTCCTGCTCCAATTTCAGATTTTCAGAGCGACATTCTCAGCAGTACGCTATTCCAAAAAATATCGGAGACTGTCAATCGAAGACCACAGGGGTTGAACAACCTTCCCTACCTAGCTCAACAGTTACCAGGCTGGAGGATACTTGCAACAGGACCACCGTTGGGAGAGACGGACTGAAAGTGACATTTGCTGTGGACACGAGAAACACGCTAGACACGCTGTGAAGATGAAGGCGCAGATAGGACAGACTGAAATGACTGAAAGGTCAAGGCCGGCCAGGACAATTACCGGATAGATGACAGACAGCTTGGGTGTGAACATTTCGCTCGCAAGCATGGTGCGTGCGTGCGTGTGCCGGCGTGTGACAGACCACTGAAGGCGCGTGCGTTGTCCGTGGTAGACAACAAACACGCAAGGATTCGAGGGTTTCTTGAGAGTGTGAACATGGAATGTTTCAAACACAGGGTTTAGTAAGGAAAACTGACGTACACACCAGGGTCCTCTTCACCACATACTACTCAACACCATGTCTGGAATGGAGTCAAACAAAGCAGACGCATAGAGGCGAACATGAACTTTGGTCTTCCCAAGGCTCATCGCTGCAAAGTATGTTTGAATGGGCCGCATATAGAATATTGAACCGTACAGCACCCCCTAGTAAATGTTTCACGAGTTGACTAAAAACTTTGTAAAATTGGTTTCGTCCGCAGATATTTTCAGTTAACGATGAGGGTTGCAGCGCTGTAACGCAGCTTTGAGCGCATACTTCAGTCACATAACCCACAGCCAGTCATACATCTCCTTTCAACAAAGCTTCCTGACGAAGTTTTTTTCAGCTAGACCGAAAGGGCAACTGGGCCCGGGAAAGGTGGCCTAACTTTCTGATAGGTTTCGCAGACAACCGTCTCATTATTTGAATATCCAACTGAGTTGGCTGTCTTTCCGTGCGCATGAGAGTGCAGTAAACAACCAGATTATCCAGCATTCTGAACGCCCTGAATGTCGGCATTTTTACAAGCAAAGGCTGTCACAATACTGTTGTTCACTGATGAGCCGAAAAAAACTGCACTTTGGGACAATAACGCAAAGCATTAAAGTTAGGACACTCAATTGGTTGCGCCGACTATCGACGATACAGAGTTATGTGGAAACGTTTAGCTATGCGTCTCAGGAAGCAACTCATAGAGCAACATGCTGACTCGATGTGTGATTAAAACAGGTCTATCAGCATCTTTGTACCACTTGACTGTGGTCATAGCCTCACCAGGCGCGTTCCTAAGCTTCAACAGGTTATGAAGACCACACAAGCAGTTTCAACAAGTGTACAAACGGCCCAGGCTTGTGATACCCATGCTAAAAAACAAAAGAAGCTGGTAATGGACAAGTTTGCACACAATTCTAAAATTGATGTACTCTTTCCGGCAGTCAAGCAGCACCGTGAACTATTCTGCACTGACTGAAATGTCCACTGTCAAATGACAAGTACTACTGCGATGGTCGTCAGAGCTCAACACATACGAGCGATGGACGGAAAATCTACTGCCTGAAAAGAAACGGGGGAGGACAACTTCCGATCGCGTGAAAGGCAGTCCGCGTTTTAGTGATAAGGGGAAGATGTACGCCCTTCATCATTCTGGCTAGCATCAAAGTCAAATCTTTTCGGAAATAAAAGCGTCTAGCAGATAGAAGTGATGTACTTCATCTTTAGGAGGACAGAACAGCTAAGGCTGAAAGAGGGTTAAGTGTCAACTCAGTTTGTTCAGTAAACGGTTTACTTGCTGGGGGAAAACAAAGTAAGGATGTGTAAGAGCAGTACCCACGGCCGGATTTCATCTGAGTAGATACGAGGCTTATTCAATCCACTAACGGATAACACACAATCATTCAGCTGTAGCACCCTTTCGGTGCCTAACTGCCATCCCACCCAAAGGAAGCACGAGGGCTGGGATACTGCCTGGTTGCACAAGCCTAGACAGAGGAGGTCGAGCGTCAGAGGTCGGATTCGAACCACAGACCTTCTGAGCCATTTCGCCCCCGATAACACAAAAACACTGAAAAAAGCACTTTTAAAAACTGAAGCTCTGGAGGTATATAAAGGTTCCATATATGTGGTGGACAAGTGGGATGTGGTTGAGCTAGATCGTAATACAATGAAAGGATCAGTAAAGAAACTTACGGTCGCTCATAGATCTGGAAGTTTTTATTCTCCAAGAGCTCTTTATCGGGATCATGACCGGAGGCTCGTTCTTTCCGATCAACTAAGGAACGTACAGGAGGAAAGTACAGATGTAAACGTTTAAACTTTCGAAAATCCGGTCCACTAAGGGAAAGTAAAGACATCGAACTCGTAATTAAGCAATGTTGAAGATAATTGGACACCGTGAACAACTGATATACTGCGTCCCTGTTAGGAATAAAAAATAGTTTCACAAACCGATTCTTATGATAATTGAACTCAGCTTGTGCGAAAAAAAGGAGGGCGAGTTGGACGAAGTGGTTAGAGCGCGAATTTACTAACCCAAATGTCCGTGATTCGAACCCGACCTCTGCCTATCGACTTCCCCTGTCTAAGCTTGGGCGATCTGGCAGTATCCCAGCCCTCGTGCCTCCTTCGTGTAGCACGGCAGCTAGGCACCGAAAAGGTGTTACAGCTGAACGATTCATGCGCAAAAACTCCGGTGCAAATGGCAAGTTGCAGGTTACTAGCCTCTCGATTAGGCGACTGGAACTGCAATTTTCGAATTCGATGACAACAGTTGCTGGAAATAAGTGCCTAGCTACCATTCCAACAGGAGGAAGTACGAGAGCTGAGATGTTGCCAGGGGACAGTGGAGATGTAGAGGTTGGGTTTGAACCACGAAACTTCCGGTCGGTAAGTTCGCGCTTAAACACTAAGCTATCTCGCGTGCCTCAGTGGAGACAGTGGGCTTTTCGATTGATCATCCTATTCCTCATGTCAACAGGTTATGTCAACAGGTATTTTGAACAGAACCCAGATACAACAAAAACGTAGGAAAGTTATCACGAAAGACCTTATCGACAAACTTGGTCCGTACAAACCTTAATGCTTTTCACCTACCATTTGGAGGATGTTACTCTCCAGACGGATGATATCGTCTTGCAGTGATTCTGGCTTTCAACAAGGTCTCACGATGCCCTGACATGGTGAGATTAGAAAAGTGGTGCATTAATGGCACCAAACTCCAGAGGGTCGCATTCGGTCGTAAAATGTGTACGACTCTGTCGATGGCGGTCACCCATTGAAATCCATTGAACGGCTGCATGGCGAACCGTCTTCGTACCAGATAGACGTGTACCTTGTGTATAACTAGGTAGTACACCCTCACTTTGTTCTACTAAACAAGCCATTCTGCATTTTTGAGTTAATGTCACAGTTGATGAGCGACACAGAATGAGGGGTAGAAAATCTGGAAGTAGGGAACGATCGTTTTTCAATCATTAGGGAAACCGCCAAAGTTACCACATTATTCTCTCACCGTATTATCCTCCACATTACCTGACAACATCGGGCAGCAGAGTAAACTCCATTTAAATCAAAACCTTTATTTGACTGAGCGATGGTGGACAGTCCCCAAGTTGCCCATGACTGGGCTCGAACCAACGCACAAGTTTTTCTAGTGAACATCAAAATTTCTCTTGTATGAACAGGAAGCACGGATTGAATTAAGATTGCTCACGCAAAGCTCAACAAGGCAAAATTGGATAGTATAGCACGGGAGTAAACATGGACAAACAGTGTAATGTTTCCGACTACCCCTGAAAGGAAGGTCTTCGCTGCGGAGTTATTTATTAGGCAATGCCAACTGAACATTGCAGACTATTGGACAGGGAAGCAAAACTCTCATATGCATCTTGTTTACAAAAACTGAATATCCATCTTCTCCTTGAACGCGTCCTCCTGAACTTTCTTGGATATTCATTGACTGTTGCCCAAGTGCAGGCAAATGCGACCCCACAAATTCCATAATAGATCTCACTTTTCAAGAGACACAAAGGGGATTTACGAGAAACATACTGCTCGCATGAACCCTAATCAGTAGTATCGCCGCTACACCTCCACTGGAGTAAACGATTGGGATGACTACCGCCACATTGTTAGCAATCCTTGAAATGTAACGATTTGTGCACACAGAGGGAACAGACGCGACCTAACCGTGTACCAACATTACCACATTATCAACAGGTAACTGCTGATTGAAGGATGAATGGCCCTATATCCTGTATGGATGAGAGCTAATCCCACTATCGTTCGTGGTCAAACAGTTCAATGTTCAACCACTGGTCAGACGGTCACGGGTTCAAGCTCTGGAGTTTCATGAGATGACTCCCAATATGGATAAAACGGCTTTTCAGCATGGAGTGGCTTCACTGACAGGACCTAATTTCGACTGAAAATTTTTAATTGTGGCTGCGGGATTAAGTGCGTGTTGAAGTCAAGCGGTGTTGTTACCGTGCCGTTTTCGTTTCGACATAAATGAAAAGCGTGATTTAGCTTGACACTGTAAAAGATACGACTCAGGGGGGGGCTGTTTATGTCGTAGAAGTAAGGCCACCAAACGACGTAGATGAAATTTGAGAAAGCCACCACCGAATGTCCAAAAAAGAGAATGCACTGGTGGAATTCAAGATGTAGTAATATGGAAAACTTAGAGGTAGTAAAAACGCTACACCGGATCCCTGGAGCGAATGATCCCTAAAGCGATCGTTCTTGTCAATGCACTTAAAAAACTTTGGTGACCCGCAATACGTGTTGGTTGCTCACCGTGTCCTATAACTCGACCTATCTTACAGTCAGGAATGCACAGTTGCAATTCCACCTTGTGGCTGAAATGCTGGTCGTCTGTGTTGAATTCTGAACCCGCATTTATTCTCACCGAGTGCGATCAAAAGACAATCCTGGTTTGAAGCACGGTGATGATGAGGTGGATTGACGCAGGACATGAGTGCGTTTGAGTGACAAGCCGAAGCAAAAAGTATGTGAAACATTGGTTACTTGAGCGGAATGTAGCAACCGTGGTTCACGACCACAAGCAAAGCACACAAACACGGGGACCATTGTGCGTGTGTCATTGCCCCGAAGTGGCAAGTGGCGCAAGTGCCCAATGGAAAGATTCGTGTCACAACGAACTTTTCGACTCCTGGTTAGACCTGGGGCTGTGATTAGCGGTGTGTTCATAGGATATTCCCACAGATGTTGGCAAACGAACTTCAAACAGGTGACTGTCATCCAGACAGGGATCCTTTATTTCAGCGGTCTAAAATAACGTGAATCCCAGCAGGACCAGTCGCAGCGTACCCGGAACCAAGTGGAAACTGATGGGAATATCAGTTCGACAACTAAAATTGGGTCTTAAATCCTACGAAGAGCACAAATAAACAGCAAGTGAGTCCAGCATGCATGTCATAGAATTATGCTGTCCATGTTGTTGTTGGTGGAGAACATTAAGTGGTGCTAGCTGAACTCAACGCCGGGGTTTGAAGGATGATTCCGAATAGTTTGTGGCCGTGCCGGCTGATTCAAACGTAGATATTCCAGCTAACGACAGTGGGCAAAGAACGGACCTGTCAATCCTTAAGAATGAACCTACGGGGATGTAGCCGGCAAGGGGATGAGGAAGGGGAGGAACGAACATGTGAAAGGGGGAAGAAATCCATAATAGCATGTTTTCACATTACCCGCCATGCTGTATGCAGTAAGTAAGGCGACCCGGACAACAGACAGTCGGTGGTATGAGATTCTCTATGAATGTATAATTCATGGTTCTACATGGCTTGAGATACTGTCAGAACGCCCATACCTAAACAAGAATAGCAACAAGACCTTTTGGCTCAAGAGCCTAACGGCAAGGTAGCGGTCGTTGGCGAAAGACCGTCAGGGAATCCCAAATTCTTGAGCAGCAAGTCACCACACATGGTAAAACATCCAACCTGGAGGACCAGGAGACTATCTTAATCAGAGCTCTACCAACTGACGAACCTAGTACGAGAGGCACTGAGTGTCACACATACAGATAGCAGTTTTGTCCAATAGGTCACGGAGGTTCATAAATCATCACCGCGGTGAGATCTAGACTCTTCGTGACAGGCGGACTGGCATTATGTCAGCTCCCATATTCCTTTCGACTTGTAAGGTAGTGAACGCTTTGACGTAATCATTGAACCGAACACACTTGCGAATACCGTTCAAGGACTTCAGTGGCAGATAATGCTCCGGTTGCAGCGAACCAGACTGGATTTGACCAAACTGGGAAACGTGCGAACCCTGGTTAGGTGGAATAGGTGAAGTACAGACCGAAACCAGAGAGGAAACAGGATAACGGTTGGCTAAGAAAGTATGAACAGCTACACCAACCAACAGCTCGTCTGTTATAGAGCTCCAGAAACTGCCAGATTGCAACGATCGATTAATACTACTATGTGAAAAAGTGTTTCAGAATAGAACCAAGTGTTTCATACAGCAAATTCACATAACAGACTTTCGTTTGAATCAAAAAGTTCGACTAATGTCGCTTAATAAGGAAGCGCTTCGAGCACATTCCAAATGGAGAAAACGGAAATCCGCCTCAAAGTAAAACCGCGCACAGTATACATGAACGACAAAGGTTTCTTATGTGGGAGCAAAATACCGAATACGTGCACCTCTTGTGGGACAGGGTAGACGGCTCTCTCCCTTATTGTTCCTGTGGTTCGACAGGTAAACTCGTCCTGATCAAGAAGCCAGACAAAGTGGACACGAAGATTTACGAGATCGTCCATGGTGACTCGACATGGTAGGAGTCTACTGAAGTCTTACGCTAGCATGGTAGTGGATTCATGTTGTCGCAGGTGTCTGGCAGGGACATGTTGAGTACAATCCACAACCCGGCAAGGTTACAACACCGGGTTAGGACAATGTCGACGGAAAGTGAACTAGTTACACCAAAGGTTATGTGCCATGGGCGGAAAAAGTACTGTACTATACTGCGCACCAGAATCTGCCCAAGCAAAGCCTGGTTTGCTTCAGTACCCGGCAAAAGTTAACCGTTTTCAGTGCACTCTTTTGCTTTCGCTCGGTGCCAGTCATTCATTATGTTGCTACTATTTGATTGCCCAGCTGGGTGGACATCATCGCCAGATGGTCGATTGTTCTATTGAAACAGCCAACAGCCAATCAACACACCCGAGTTACGACATTGCCAACCGACCGATATAGTTTGGGAGTTATTCATTCTGCGAAAATGTATCCTTCCTCGTAGTTTGGGAGTCGACATGGCGGAAACGCGCGAATCTAATCGAACGGTTCATCGCTTGACTTAGAAAAGTATTTATTGTAGACCGGCATCTGCTGTCAATTAGTACGATGGGGTCAAAGGAATAGAAGCGGTTTTCAGACGGTTTATGCGTGGCTAGGTGAGAAAACGCCAAGGATTCTTAACTTTTGCAGCGGGACCAAGTTTCCCAATACTCGTCAGCCTGTCGACTACGATGAATCATCATGACGGGTTACCTAACAAAAGACGACATTCGTCTGGACATAAGAACTGAACACACAAGCTCTGATGTGCCAGGAACCGGACGATGAAGGGTGAGCTCATGCCCTCAAACCACCGTCGACTAGAGGAGTCCATGCGTTCATGTTGGCCGAATCAACAACGTGGAATGTCACAGTACGTCGGCTAAAATAGGGATCTCCACAAACGTAGTCCCATTCAGCGTTCGGTAGGAAGGTTTTGACTCGTCTAAAAGATCGACCACAATCCGATTCCAGCAATCGACTGCGATGACGCCCACCGCACCAGTGTACACACGGAAAACCGGATGCCCCGTCAACTTGTAGCCCGAACAGCCAGAAGCATGTGAAATCATCCGGAAGTGTGAGGCTCTCCACAAAAACGACCGAAAATTGATCTCAGTTTCTTCCGCAAACATAAAATTAAGGGGAGATTCAAACTGACAACTGTGATCGCCCATCACAAATGGTTAAGGCTGAAAATAGGGCATTTCTCACGGGATGAGATAGATAACAATAGTTTGGAAAAAACATAACAATCGTCTGTGCGATCTCATAAGAATCGTGAACAAAATCGTTCAGCTGTAGCACCCTCCAGGTGCCTAGCTGCCATGACACCCGAGGGAAGCACGAAGATGCTGCCAGGTTGCCCAAGCCTAAACAGGGAAAGTCGACAGGCAGAGGTTGGGTTCGAACCACGGACCTTCCGGTCAGTGATTTGAACATCCGCAAAACTGCAAAGGCATTCGAGGGTACACAGAAAAGTTTCTAAGTACAAAAATCCATGGAGAACTTACGCATATAAGTCTCTCCGCGGCTGCGCATTACTATGCAGGCAGTCAGCGCACCGATGATGATGATAATCACAATTGCAATCAGTACGGCAGCAATCCACGAAAATCCTGCACTGGCTGCATAAACAAAGGAAGGGAAACATCATCCTCAGTGACAGCAACCCCAGAGGAGAATACGGGTATCATAGAGTCAAAACATAGCGCTGTAGAATGGGATGTTATAATCTTACCGCGAGGGCTCTTCGTTGCTGTAGGCTGAAATGGGTAACTGATAGAGCAAGGATTAATACGAACCGTTCTGCAACTTCTCGCTCTTACGTGGAATTCAGATGTACTGGTAGAATGATTCATCCAACAGCGTCTACACACCCATCTGTTCTTTTAATTCTGACAAATATGAGAACGAGTTCATTTCGGGTCGCTGTGTGTGATATATCCTTGGGCACATACCAGCAATAGGCGCTTAACTCTCAGCCTTTAATCGAAACGGACGAACCTCCCTAAAGGATATGCAAACTACGGCTGCCAGTCGACATCAGCGGAGACCTTACTGCTAGTTCATTTCGAAATGGCCTGCGGAATACAAGCAGCGATGGTAGACTAAGGAAAATAAGTTAACCAGGTCCCCCACAATTGTAAAGTTAGCGTTCCGATTGGTTGTTTGATCGATGGGACCGGTTGGAACGCGTGCAGATTGAACTGAGATTGATTCCACTCTCTACATGTTCGTTTTGGCTTAACCGAATCTACACTATTCGGGCAATCACATCGAATACTAACAGGAGCACCACAGCGCGTCAGATGTTGACTCAGTCGCGCGGTTGGCTATTTAGCTTATTCATTTGTTGGTCAAACAGCTGTGTGACCGTTGCTCCAGGCTGTTCAAGACCAGGACGAAAAACCTCGTGCAAATGAGCTTTTCGGCAATATGGTTCTAGGCGATCTAGTGGTCTTCTGAGGGCAAAAACAGTAGAAAGGTGCAGTTTTCTGATTGGCGGAAGTGCGCTGAATTTTGAGGGGAAAAAGCATAAGTCTTTCGTGTTCAGTGACACGTACTCTTAATTAGATGTTAGGAATATTGGCATGGGTAAGCGTGTCACCTCGGTTTACATGACGTAGCTTTTAGGAAGACCTTGAAACCTTCTCTCAGTGTTGTGGGAGTCAAATATTAGTGTAAAACAATTTCAGCGTCATAGATAACTAAAGTAGTATCATTGAGATGACCGATCTAAGCACATGTCACATTCAGTAAGGGGCACACCAGGGGACGGATTCGAACCCTTGATATTCCGCTTGCCAGCCATGTGTTCCCAGAACTGGGCTATCAAAGACATCACTACACGTACACACGTGAAGCTCATGTGTGATTTGCCGCGGATCTACCTAATGGGTTGACAGCCATTAACGCCATTGGTGAACCTTTTGCGAGACTTCTTCTGAGGCCTCACCGAAGGCAAGGTTCGGGACGAGACGCGTTCAGGCAAAATGACCGACCCATCGAAGCAAGAGCTACCAGCCAACGTCATGTGCCATGACTGACTACAACCGTTATCGTTATCCGTTTTGATCGTTTGACACCAGAAACGGGCACACTCAACATAAATATATCCTTCCCCCTTGCAAACTGGTTGGAACTTCTTCGTCAGGGAGAGCTAACAATGGAATTGTGATGCGCTATCAATGGTATGGGGAGTGCCTGTTGTACTTTCCCTCTGCAACAGGTCGTTATTGGAAATCAAAAGGCGTATTCTGCCTGAGGAAAAGGAGGGTTTGGTTCTCCGAGGATGAACTGAAACCGAAAGAAATCGCGTCATCTTAGTTGTTTCTGTGCAATACGAAAAAGTCCTGTACTACCATTTGAAGAATACAGCTGGATACATAAAATGTGGCTCAGTGTACCAGTTACTGTAAAGTAGGTCATCATCATCATCACTGTCAGCTGTAATAACCGCGTACTCGTCCTACTGTGGTTGTAGCTGCCACAGTTTCGTTCACCGATGTTTTTTCTTCGGGGGGGGATATGTACAGTGGGCTGTCAAGTGGGGGGTTGGAAAAGGAGCTATGCATTGAAGGCAATAGCTTGGATGCACGAGCGCCATCGAGGGTGCGACTGGGCCATGTCTGACAATGTCTAGCCATTGATGTGGCCCGTCTCGGGGTCCCCCTCCAGGAAGACGGCAGTGACCAGCGCAGCTGAGTTTGCTGGTAATTGCTTTCATAC